TATCTAATAATATAAGATACCTTTAATTTATGGTAAATGTTCATTTTAAATACAAGTCTATCACATAAATGAAAGGATTGATTGATGACTTTAAGAACTTAAATTGCAAGGGCAAAAAGATGACCAAAATTAGAAAAGAGATGTCGGTGCAATCCAAACCGGAACATTGTTCGGTAATTGGGTCATATATGGAGTTATAGATCTCAGATTTAGGTATACTTTATATGGATGGAAAGGTAATACATAGGCCTACAACTTTCATATGGAGCCCAAAATCTAAAAAGACCATTTTCAAGTCCAAATTATTGCAACAACAAAGAAGCCCGAAGCTGTCCTCTAGCCCGAGCACTGTTCCGTATTTTGGCCATATCTGGAGTTTTAGAAGTCCAAATGAGCTGAACTTTTTACACAAGAAATATGAGATAATTTCCTACAACTTTCATGTTTTCAAGTGGCTCTAATTTTGACGTTATCAATGACGTTTTGGGCAGACAAGAGAAGATAAGGATTGTCACCAAGTCAAGAGTTGGCTACCCACTCATCAATTAGTCATCAAATCAATAGTTCCCAATTTTGGCCTATAAAAGGAGGCATTTGCCATGCATTTAGGCATCTTGGTCTCTAGATCAAGATCATGCTCTTCCTTTCTCTCTTTATATTTTTTGTATTGCTTATTCTTTGCTTTCATTAATATAAAGTTTATGGCTTTCATTTCCTTTCATTTTCTTAGTTAACTTTTATCTTATTTATGTTTTTATTTTGTTTATTTATTTTTCTTTCTTTCATTATGTCTAGCTAAGTTTATTATGTTAAGGTGAAAAGGCTACACTAATGGTGTAAAAATAAGTATAGTGTAAACTTAATATGGACTTTAATGTTTGATACTAACATGTTTTGTACTTGTTATCTTGTTCACTCTTTAATACTTTGCTTGTTAAATGACTAATCTTGATTTATGTTGTATAACACTTGGTACAACAAATGCTTGGCACTTTCATAGCCCATACTGTATGGTATAACCGAAACCTGAGCTATGAAAGGAACTTGATTTGTTGTTAGCATAAGTTATAATCATGAATGCTTGACGAGATTTACAAGTACTAGCATTAATCGAATAAGATGACTAATGTAATCATGTTAACAATCTATAATCTGATTGGAACCTCCTTTGTGTGTGGTTTCCAATTGAATAATAAGAGTTTATACTATACTTGTTTGACATACCATTAGTGAAACCTCTAACCTTGACATTTGTTATTATTATTGTTTAATCCTTACATTAATTTTCCATCTCCAAGTTCTCATCATCTTCTTCTTCTTCTTCTTCTCTTTCTTTATTATTATTATTATTATTATTCTTACTACTACTACTACTACTATTATTATTATTATTGTTATTATTATTATTATTATTATTATTATAGTTATTATTGTTATTGTCATTGTTGTTATTATTGTTATTACTATTATTATTATTGTTGTTGTTGTACTATTGTCGTTTATAATTTGTACAATTAACCTCCCTGTGGTTCGACCCCGGTCTTACCGGGTTATTTATTACTTCGACACTCCTGCACTTGGGAGAAGACATCAATCTTTTAGTCGTGTCATATAGCCTTTTACAACTAATCAGGCTTTGTATTTGTCTATCTCATCATTCTTGTTGAACTTTGTCTTGTGCACCCATTTTACCCCAACCTTTTTAGCACCAATAAGCAAATATGTTAACTTTCAAGTGTCATTTCATTCAATTGCATCTATTTTTGCATCCATGACTATTCTCCATTTTGCATCTTTCATAGTTTCATAAAAACACACACGATCAGTGGATGCAGTAAACATAACCATATAAAACTCCTCATATAATTCTTCCCCACTAACATAGTCCTTCATCCACAAAGGTTTTCTATGCTCATTTTCGAGTTTGTTACGTGTATTTTTACTGTTGCTTGGACTTATAGAAATTGTATTGTTATGTATATTTAAAGAGTTGTTGTAGTGGCTTTCAGTGGTGCTCATTTTTGGATTAGCATGTTGATTAAACCTTACTTTTGGATCAGTATGTTGATCATTGTTTCCATTGTCTGGCCTGTCATCAGTTGTAAAATATTCTTTATCTTCATCTTTATTTTTCCATTCTAAAATAATAGTATCAGCTGTTTCTAAACTCTCACTCCAATCCCAATTATTTTTTTCGTCAAATACCACATCTTTGCTCACTATAATTTTCTATGAGATGGGATCATATAGGCGATGTGCATTTGATTATTTACTGATGCCAAGTAGGACACATTTTACACACTTTTATGATCAGGCTTGCTTCTTTTATAGTCAGGGACATGAGTGTGTGTTATGCAATGAAAGACTTTAAAATGATGAACTGGCAGTTTGATGTTACTTTAAGCTTATTCTGGAGTCTTGTTTTTAACTATAAATTTCGGACATATGTTCAAAATATGAACAGTCTAATTTACAGCTTCTGACCAAAATCTCTTTGGTATCTTCTTTGTTAACAGCGTACTTTGAATCATGTTCATGATGGTTTAATTTTTCCTTTCTGAGACTCTATTTTGCTGAGGAGAGTAGGCAGCTATAAGTTGACGATGTATGCTATGCTTGTTGAAAAAATATACAATTTTTTGTGAGATGAATTCACCTCCACAATCAGTACAAAGGCTATGCATACATAAACCAGTCTTCTTTTCAACATGATTCTTAAAGAGTTTGAAAGTAGTAAAGACTTTAGATTTTATGATAAGAAAATAAGCCCAAACTTTACAACTATAATCATCAATAAATATGATTACGTATCTCTTATTGTTGCTTAAAATAGGAGTAATGGGACCATAAATGTCAGTATATATGAGTTAAAGAACTTGGGTAGCTCTCTATGTAGATTTTTTTAAAAAAATAATTCCTGTTGTTTTCTAATCAAACAATCTTCATACACTTTTGTTGATGCATTTAAATTTGACAGTTTGCTCACTGTCTTTTTTTTTTTATTAAAGAAGATTCAATCTCGTGAAACTAAGGTGTCCATATCTATTATGCCAAAGCATAACATTCTCTTCTGATGAAGATTTAAAACAAACCCGCTCCCTAAACTCCTTAGACTGTACCTAAGCAAACAATTTGAACATTCTATTTGAAGACATGGTTATCTACATAATCAAACCTCTTTTATAATGATATATCTTGCATGTTTCTTGCTGAATAAGAATAGCAAGACCTTTTTCAACTAGTTACCCCATTTTCAATAAACTGTTTTTCAAACCTGAAATGTAGAAAATATTTGTAATGATTTGTACAAAATCATTAACAAATATTCTAATATTCTTTTCCAGTAACAAGCATTTTTTAATTATCTCCCAGCTCTACTGTCTCTCTAAAAGTGTCATCAAAATAAAATAAAATAAAATCATTTTTACCACACATGTGATTGCTATATCCAGAGTTAAGAAACCATAACTCCTTCATGGTTGTTGCCTTTTCATTTACATATGCCATTAATAACATTTCTTCTCCTTTTTCTGCATAGTTTGCCACCCCTTCAATCTTCTTTTTTGGATACTCATATGCAAAATTTCTTAGTTTATGATGGCTATAACATTTAATAATGGATTTGTCAAGATAATGTCTTACACCTCTTCTGCCTCTGCCTTTACTTGATCCTCAAACACCCTGACCACCTCCTTGCTAACCTGATAATTCTCTTGTTGTAACCTTCAATGTATGCTCCTCTATGATATAAGCATTTATATGTTATTCATGAACCACCAAACTACTTTGCAATTCATCTATAAAAATTACATCAAGATCTTTTGATTCTTTGATAGAACAATCTATGTAATCAAATTTAAAAGTCATGGATAACAAGATTTTTTTAATGATTGTTAAATCAATTAAATTCTTCTCACCATTTAACCTTATTTGGTTTACAACAGTCATAATACAAGCAAAACATGAAGTTATAGACTCATCTACCTTCATGTTTAACATCTTGAACTCTTTTTAAAGAGGTTGTTATTGTGTACGTTGCACTCGTGTTATACCTTGATACTTCATTTTCAAGGAATCCTAATGCTCTTGGTAGAATCCTTGTTTAAAATCATCTTTAAAATTGAACGATCAATACTTTGGAAGAGATAATTCTTCACCTTAAGATCCTTCAATTTTGCATCTTCAATTACCTTCATCTGGGCTGGAGTAGGTTGGACTCCTCCAATCACGGTTGGAATTATTTCCTCAATTAAACTCCAGTATTCCTTTGAACGAAGAAAATTCTTCGTGAGCATATACCAATGATCATAGTGTCCGTCATAAAATCTCTTTTTGTTGACATCTCTGATGTTATAACCAGGCTCTGATATCAAAATATTAAAAATATTTTAGTGTTTCGCTGAGAAATAATACAAGAAAATGAGAGAATGTTTTGTGTATTATTAATATATATGAAAACCACACATATAGCCTTTTACAAGGATTGAAACTAAAGCTAAATTAAAATAGAATAACAAAATCCTAAATAATATTAATTATTAAAGCTAGAAATCAGTTAAGTCCTAAAGACTTGATTAACCGGAACAAACTCTAACATCGACCGACCTTAATTTACCTTTGGTGCATTCTATTTCTTAATTAAAACTATATTAAAATAATTATTTTAATTTTTAATATAAATACATTAAAATATTTAAAAATATCTAAGAATATTTTTTTAATTAAAATAATATTTTAATTTTGATATAAATATATCAAAAACATCAAAAAAAAAATATAAGAAATGTTAATTTGAAAAGCTTATTATAACAGGAAAAAACATCGAAAATAAATCTAGTCTGCAATAATACGACGCCGTTTACTGGCATGGCGTCATGAAAGTTAAAAAGTGATCTCGCTCTTAAGTAATAATTGCGAAGTTTAATTAGATTTCGGGGTGGCCGACAGACGCTGTCGTGTGGCGTCATCAAATCGGAAATGGGTTAGTCTATGGAGTAATGTGTAATTTTTCTCTTGGAAACGGTGGCCTGATATTTTTTCTTTGGTGACTGCCTTTTACCTGTAGGTTTCCCTTCTTCATTCCTCGTGTGCAGGGGAGGGGCAGGGGTGGTGGTGTTCTTTTGAGTTTTGCGTTGCCTTCGCTTTTGGGCTAGATCACCACTTCACCCCCATTGGAAAGAAAAGCTGATTCTTTTCTTGGTCTGTCTTTTCTGTCAGCTGGTTCAGGAATGTTGCTTTTATAATTATATTAATGTAACTGTTACTATGATGAATTACAGTCAGTTCTTCGAGGGAAGTTGAGGGTTTTTTTTTTTTAATAAAAAATTTCAGGTAATTAAACTGGAGCTCAGGATGTCAAGTTTTCCTGGTGAACACAAGTCTCCAGTGGATCTGGGATATGGTAATTTCGGGTATGCTTCCATTTTATATATAAAGAAAGCTTTTTTACTCTTGTTTATTGCGCCCCCCCACCCTTTCTCTTGGTTCTGGTTTTGTTTTTGAATTGAAAATTTTCTTCTTTTTGTTTGATAAATAAAAATAAAACAAAGGTGCACCCACTATAGAAGAAGATGTAAGATAAGAGCACCCTGTTGCAACGAGATATTCGATTGCAGGCATTGTCATAATGAATCAAAGGTTCTATCCTTTTTCTTTTTTTTTTGTAAAAAGAAATGCTTTTTAAAGCTCCCAATCAATATAATGTTTTTTATGAATAGGATTCTATGGAAGTTAATCCCATTGATCGTCATGACATTCCTCGTCACGAATTAAAAAGGGTCAGTTGCTGTATCTCTCACTTCTGTTTAACTTTTTTGTTTTGTGTAATCAAATAAGGCATAAAGGTAGATCGTGTGCTGGTGTATTACCTTTTCAATATTTTTAAAATGAAAATAAGTTTTAACGTAATTAGGAAATAAAATGCAGGTGCCTTTTATGATCATTGTTTCGTAAGTATAATTTTCTGGGGCCAAGGTCGACATTGATATCATCTCATACAATTGCTTTCTTTTCTGCTTTTAAAATGATGTTTTAATGTTTCATTTCACACAAAAAAAAAAAATCATGGAATTGTGGGTACCATTAAAAGATCCAAACACGTGTTTTTTTGGGTAAGGTTCAGCATCTTATCTTTTATTTCTATATCTGCTAATAGGCATATTACATGATGCTTCAGTTCTTCCTATTTGTTGATTTTTTTTTTTCAATTTGCTAAAAGGAAAAAGAAGTACTGATTTAGTTTTTCCTATATGATTATTGTGTTGCAGGTCATATGTTCTTTGTGTGACACAGAACAAGAAGTGAGTCTCTGACTGACAAACTGATGGGAGTGACAATAATATGAAGATTTATCAATGGGTTTTGATTTTTCTTGAATATCTTGCCAGGTTCAACAACAATGCTTTCATTGTGGGGTGTGCATGGGGAAGTACTTTTGCTCCAAATGCAAGTTCTTCGATGACGATGTATGCCTCTTCAAACTCTGAAGTAAATATATTAGCTGTAATCCTGCTTAACAAACGAACTGTTTGTTTTGCTAGATTTCAAAGCAGCAGTACCATTGCAATGAATGTGGCATCTGCAGGTTTGTCCCTCACACAGTTACTTGTTTTACCATGCACTGTCTCATTACCTGGACATTTCTGTTTTTTACACTTGTAGTGTGATTAATTGTTGTTTTGGTATTGCAGAACTGGAGGAAAGGAGAATTTCTTTCACTGTAATAGATGCGGTAAGATATCAACGTGTCAGGAATGCTTTCCATCAATTTATTTTTTTAAATCATCTCTTTTATTTAAAATTGTTTTCTTGAATTGCTTTTGTATCTGTAATCCATAAGTTATTCAAATGTTAGTTGAATTTTTTCCTTGAACCAAAATGGAGAAACTTTAACTTTGATTATTTATTAACTTAAGTTTAAGAAATGAAGGGAATATCTAAAGAGAGGAATTTAATGTAACATATTCATCAAAAAAAAGAAAAAAAGTTGCATGGTTGATGAAAATATCTATATAATTGAAAGCGTTTTGCCAATAAAATCTTTTTCATTTTGACTATTACTCTAAATCATGCTGAAATTACAAAGAAACTCTTATGTACTTGAGAAATTCCTTTGTCGGCTCTTCTTCATTTACTTGTCTGTTGAGTGGCCTTGTTTCTATTTTAGGATGCTGCTATTCAACATCATTGAAGGATTCACACAATTGCGTGGAAAGAGCAATGCACCATAATTGCCCTGTTTGCTTTGAGGTAAACGTGCACACCGAAAGAGAAATGCAAAAAATTATCATCATGCAAACCCTGATTTATCTGCATCTGATTCGCTAACTTATTTGATTTTCTTTGCGCAGTTTCTCTTTGAGACCACAAAAGGCATTACTGTCTTGCCTTGTGGGCACACCATTCATTTGGAATGTGTTAAAGAGATGCAGCAGCATTTTCAGTAAGTTTTTGGTAATTATAGGGTGGTGTTCGTTTTTGTGCTAGTTATTGCCAACTGTAGGACTGTAGTCTTTATATTTGGGATGCTGTGGCAGGTATGCCTGCCCTGTTTGCTCAAAATCATATTGTGACATGTCTCGCGTGTGGAAAAAACTCGATCAACAGGTATGCCTACTACATTATGATATGATTTTACCTAATGAAGTAGTGGTTTATTAACTTCCCAATTTTTTTTCTAAATCACATTCAGGTAGCGTTGACTCCCATGCCTCAAATGTATCTGAATAAAATGGTATGTGTGAGAAAATGATATGTGTTTGTACTAATTAACAATTGTCAGGGTATAATTCTTTGAATATTCTGGTTTAGGTTTGGATTCTTTGTAATGACTGTGGGGAAACATCTAAAGTAAACTTCCATATTGTAGCACACAAGTGCCTAAAATGCAATTCATACAATACGAAGCAGACACGTGGAGGACCTCCCCCCTGCTCTTCAAGTATCGAAGAGATAAAGAGATGACCAGCTTCTCATTAATGTCTGTAATTAAAGACGACTCGAGTTATTAGAATAGTAAATGGAGTGGGGATGTTTTGCTTGAGGCCATGCAGGAAGGGGTATTATTCTCTTATTCACTAATGCCTGTACTTTTACCACTTGTGATGCTGAGCTAATTAATAATGTTTTTAAAGGATCCATAGGTGAGAATATTCATTGTTAACTTAAAAATTAGGCTCCCTTTCAGCGGGCAATACGTTCACTTCAAATGGTGGTTCAATAAAACTGAATATTAGAATGATTATTAATGCATTGCAGTAACCCTCACTAATCGAATTTTCTTATTTCCTCTAAAAGGATCCTATTGGCTGTGGCTGGTTTTCTATTGCATTCTGTTGAACTACCTCGCATGTTTACCATTCATAAAATTGTAGTGCAATGACAGTCGCTGTTGGTTGTCTTTGTGAGGGAGCTATTACATTTCATATACACATATATGGTTTCTGCTGAAGTCAGTAAAAAATTCGGATTTCATTTGTGCTTCCACTGCTGATTCTTGGGACAAAGCGTTTGGGCTGGTGGTTCCACACTCTTGCAAAAACAAATCCCTTATCAAGGTAGAAAATCATCTTTATGTTTAAGAAGAAAGAGTGCATGTAAGAGGGAATAATGCATATAGAAGGGGACAGCATATTGGAAAGAGACTGAGAAGAAAGAGGTGTAGGAGAGTGTATATTGTGATTATGGAGTGTTGTGTTGTTTTGTGGTCTTGTATTTTGTTTGTTTACCTGGTAATCTGAGACATTTACGCATCCTGATCACATGAAATTACTGCCTATAACATGGAGTTGCTGGGGGATTAATCATTGGAGAATAATTACTTTACTGGGTTGGTAACCTGTAAAATTAGTTGGTTGTTGTGTCTTGCCATGCCATTGATGATGAGAAAGGTTGATGTTTTCGAGAAAAGCTGGCATTACGAGGCGTACACAGTATCCACTGTTGATGGTTATTAAAATGAAATCAAGGGGGTGCACTGTCCTTTAGAAAGCTGTATCTACTGTTGATGGTAGTTATTGAAATGAAAACTAGGTGTTGCACTGTCCTTTAGAAAGCTGTAATAATGCATTCATGCATTGTGGTGTGCTTACACCATGTTCCTTGTGAGTTTACTCGGGATTGAGATTTGGTTCATAATTTGTTGTGTTAAGCTTGTTGCCCGCTCCATTATCCATGCTTTTTTAGCCCATTTGTTTCCATGAGACTTCTACGAAGTTAACCTTCACAAAGGGCTTTTATGGAGGCCACTTCTATGTTTGAGGCTCTCATAAGCCTTATGCGAATGCATGTGAAGGTAGTGACCTAGGAACACTGAGGTTCAGTGTCTAGCGACTAATCAACTATATTCTCTGCTAGATATCTAAAAAAGAGAGGAGATTATAAGTAGATGTTTTCGAGATCAAAAAAGTTGTTTAAGGCGAAGTTGTATGAAAATATAAGGATGTGCAAGTATATAATTTTAACATAATATATAAGATATATACCTCTTGCTATTATAATTAATCAAGTATTAAGCAATTGTCACGAGTAGTTGGATGCCATCATGAAGAAAATATATTATAATATAGGCAAATACCTTAGATTTTTTATGTGGGTTGATAACACAAAAATTTATGTAATATTTATATGGTTAGAATAGGTACACCCTTTCTTTACCTAATTTTTGAACTAAGATGGATGTGCCCAACTGCTACTATAGTCTAAAGGACTCCTAGTCTTTATTTATCATTTATAGATTTTATTCAAAATAAATATAATAATAAAAGGTATTAAATTAAAATATGAAGTGACATATGAACCTCTTCGTATATTTTTTTACATTCTCATATGACACTATATAAAAAATGATAATTATTTTATATAGTTCAAAATAACTACCACGTAGAAACACTTATATTTTGATAAAAAAAAAAAAAGCAAGAACTTTCAATGAGACATTAAGATCTAACTTTATATATCCTAATGCGTATAAAAAAATATTTTATACGTACAACATATTACATTAATTTTTAAAAATAACATAAAAATATATAAACAATTAATTAAAAAAAATAAAGTCATACTCTCAAATGGATTAGTAAGACTCACATGATCTATATAATATTTTATCATAGTGTTTTAGTTATGAGATCCATGACCATTAGCTTAGTGGTAATATGCTAAATGATCACTTTATATTTCTTAATTCTCTTTCTTACAATCAAGTGATTGTTGTTGTACATATTTGAACTCATACACTTATTTTTAGAGAATAAAAATAAAATTGAATTATCATAATATATCTTTATTGTTTTTAACTTTAGACTAGAAATGAAATTCTTTAATTAGATAGCATATGTCATTGCTTTATAGCATGAAAAGATTTTGCTTCTATAGAAAACAAAGCAATAATAATTTGTTTAGTACTTTTATAAGATATAGCTTCTTTCACAAGAACAAAAATGCATCCTAAAATAGATTTTTTTAATGCATACACAATGAAAAAAATCTATGTATAAATAACCAATCTCCTAAAAATAATTATCATGTTTGTCAATTAGGATTAAACGAGTTTGTAACCTTCTTGGGTTGCTTTAGAACCTTCCAACATTTCCATTGCAAATACCAAGTTAGGTCTAGTATAGACCCATGCATATAGAAATACATAATTTTTTTTTCATATATTTCTTTTTAAATACATTCTTTGGATATTGATTCTGATTGGATTTGTCGTATTTGATTATGGATGCTATTAAAGATGCAAAATTTGACATCCTAAACCATTTTAAAAAATTTTAATCTAAACCTTATGAGACAGTTCAATATTCTTTGAGATCTATCTCTATAGATCTTTATATTAATAATATAAGAGGCGTTACCTAAATTCTAGCATCGCTTTAATGATTAAACATTCACCTGTATAACTCTGATTCATTTTCATTGCATTCATAATTATATTCCTATAACGATTACTATTATCATCTACAACCAGAGGTGGCACCAAGGGGTGACAAACAGGGGTCCGGGCCCCTGCAAAATACCCCTGTAAAATATTTTAGATATTTTTTATTTAGTATTCAAATATAATAAGTAATAGGTTATCTAATAATAAATTATTATTTCATTAATTAATTATCATTGAATATAAAATTATATCTTCATCCAAGTTGTAAAAACTAAAATATAACCTAAACAAAAATATAACTTGTTCAATTTAATTACTTTTTATTGTTTTTTTTATCTTTCTTTTTTAGAATCCTAACCAAAAAATATAATAATACAAAGCAATGCAGAAAGATTAAAATAAAATTGTTAATTAATTTATTGTGTAATTAGTGATCCAAATTTAATTTTTTTTATGTTCGTTAAGAATTTCATGAGGTTTTTATATATATATAATTCTGCTATTTTTTTTCTAAATTTACTAGTTTTACCATTTTTTGATTTTTTATTATTATGAATGTCATTTTTTCTAATAAATTGAATATATTTTATAGGTTTGTTTTGATTAAGTTTGGATTTTTTTCTGTTTTATTTTTAGTAGAATCATTAAAATTATCAATTTTTTCTCACATGTCTAATAAATTTGTCATGATCTTTTTAGCCAAATTAAATTCTTTAAAGAATACATACCATTTTAATTTAATTTAAATTTTTTTTGGAACTAATAATTCTATTTTTTATGTTTGATTTTCTTTTATATATCAATATTTTTAATATGTGAATTTTACTTTTATATATTAACGTGTTTTACATGTAAAAATTTATACCTGTGATATTACTTTTGGCCCTCCCTGTTAAGTAATCCCAGCTCCGCCCCTGTCTACAACTCCATGTTACTAGAATTAGAAGTTGACTCAACCATTCTTTTTTTCATGATTTCATAACAAATATATAGTTCTCCACGTGCAAACTAATATAAATTTTTTTTCCATGAACTATTTTTGTAAAAGATGCATTGTAATCACATTTGGATCGAGAAACTTTTTATTTTTATACCTCTTATGTAAATATTTAATACCGTCTCTACTAATATTTTTTAGATTAGATATTATATAATTAATAAAATCGTCAACTCCATTATAATAATCCATTGCGTGCAACCCTTCGGGTAAACTCGATATATAAAAAAACAATCATCCATGACTTATTATAAAACCTATATAAAATATTGATGACAACATGTATTAATTAATAATATAAACTAAACAAATTATTAGTTTCCAACTAATTAGTTATTATTGGTTTAACTCAAACTTGATCAATCTATTTTAACAATACCTTTAGATCATTATCAAATTTCTCCAAAAATTCAGACTCTAAATATACTAAAATTTTCAACTTAACAATAAAATAGATTAAATGTGAAATGTACCCATTAATAAACCATTATTTATTTCATTATAAAATACCTAAGTTATAAAATCAAACTTAATTTCATCAAATGATAAATAAACATAATATTTTAAAATCTCAAACAAACCTTAACTTGTACAAATCATACATTTATACAATAAGTTTTTATAGTGAAAAGCTATAAAATAAGTAAACACACAAACAAACTATATATACTATATAAAAACGCTAAAAATTAACATTTTAAAAATAAATAATTTTATTTATTTGATGTGGTGATTGAACCAAAACAGGTATATAGATAGACTGAGTGTTGAAGTGGTTGGTTTTCTAACGATGGAGGCTTCATTTGTGACAAAATGATGGGGGCAAAGATATTATGTACTAGTTTATGTAGAATAAAAAAGAAGATGAAGGGAAAAAAATATGAGAGAGAGGGAAAGGAGGTTCGTCTGTAAGGTTATAAGTTAAATAATTACCAATAGATTCATAACTTAATAATTATATTTTATCTGTAATCTAATCTATAATACTGACATGTTATTTTTTTTGTTTTTTTAAATTGTATTTTTTTTAGTATTTGCTAAGGTAAAATTTTTCTTAGTGAATACCAGAAACAACAACAACATTATTTTTCATTGGTAAATGTAATTATAATTTATTAACAATATTGATTACATCAATATTTCTATTTATATTTAATAATTTTATGGTGGTAGCATTTGTTCTGCGGTTGAATGAATCCAGTATAATCAGTGGCAGAGACAGAGGGGCTGGCAAAAGCCACGAGCCCCGCAAATAAATTTTTCCCAACCTCTTCTTTGTATAAAATAATTAAAATTTTAACTTTTTTAAAATATTTTTTTTATATCACTTTGTGGCATTGCTGTAACAACCAAGGTGCTTCAACAAGAAGCCATCATACAACATGTC